ATGGCGCAGAAGTGAAAACAATACATTTATGATCAATAAGCAGCCCCAGATAGCACAGACAGCTCATCTCTTACCTCTTGCTGTGCGCTTCAGGGCCATTTTCCTCTGTTTTTGAGCTGATGTGCATAAGTAATCCTTTTACATGTCTGACGTGCTCCAAACACAGTGAATTATGTTTGATCAAACAAAAGAATAGTGAAATATGAACACAATGATCGCTCCCTGTGGCTTGTACAGCCCCTCTCATCAGTTGGAATACAATAACTTCTGCATAGATTATGGTGGAGACATTTCTCTTTTTTCCTATGATTACTGACATGTGCAGGAACCACCAACATTAATTACAGCATGCTAGAGCACACACAACCTAAAAGGCACACTTTCACATTTGAGTTCATAAAAAAAAAAAAATACAAAAAGCGCCTCTTTCTTTAGGTGTTTATTATAACACAGACAACATATATAAATATTTTAAACACTTTCAATAGTGTTTCATGAAAATTCAAAGGGTTTTCTTTAAAATGATACCAAATTTTTACATTTACACCTCTGCATGTGTATTTGGGAAGCTTTCAAATTTGGGTCGGCAAAATCCCAAAATAGCTAAAGTTAAAGATATTATTATTTTTAAATTATTTATACCAGGGTGTCCATGCTGTTTTACATTTGATTGTTCAATTTCTATGCTTGAATACCCAAGAAAACCATAAAGCACTATTTATTTATTTATTTTTGCCCTTAATGTATTATTTTATGCAGATGCACTGCATACAGAGTTGATCATCTCAGTCCATCTAAATTGATTAAATCTTTCTAAATAGAGCTATTCAAATCATCTGCTAAATTATATTTATCATGCAAAATATGGCAAAACAATATCTCAATGTCAGATTTATGCAATATCGTGCAGCCCTAGTGCAATTAATATGAGTTGCTTTTTTTAATGAAGTTGTATTGAAGATGTGCACCTGCTCTTACAGTGAGCTGCTGCTGTTTATATTCAGTATTAATGAACACACGTGTTGTTTTGCTCATAACAGTCAGATATTGTGTTTCAGCTGCACTTCTCACGCTGTATTTTATAAGTTTGGCTGAACAGGTTCTGAAGGAGGAGAGTCTGGTCTAGAATGTCAGGATGTTTGTAGCTGTGGGGGGAAAATCAATGCAGCTAAAGCTGAAAATCTCTCTTTATTGCTGATTCGCTGCTGCCGCCGCCGCCGCTGCTCTCTGATCCTGGAGAATCAGGTCATACGCAGCACAGGCAATAATCTGAGAGAGAACCGTTCATGTCGTGCATGACCTGAAGGGGCTTTTATAAGGCAGGGATCAACCTTAAGTCAATATTTATTGAAAAATATAGGCACAAGGTTGTTTGTTGACTTTTTGTTTCTCTCTTTAGTATTTTAATGTTTGTTGTTGTTTGCTGGCTTTTTTGTTTATATTTTGATAAACGTTATAGATTTGTTTATTTGTTTGTTTTATTTACATTTTAATATATGTTATAGGGTTTTTTGTTTGTTTATTTATATAATTAAATATATGGTAAAGCTTTATTTTGATGGTGCATTTGAGTAGTAGACTGTCTGCTTAATATCTGCTGATGCTGCTCCTTCAACCGACATTTAACTGACTGTAAAAAAACTTTGCAAGTACATGTCAACATACACTAACCCAAACCTAACCTAACGGTCTACTTCTAATGTAGTTTAAGTTCAACAAACAGATCATCAAAATAAAGTGTGACTGTATATATGTTTTAGTTTGTTTGTTTGTTTGTTTTATTTACATTGAAATATATTTTATATATTCTTTTTTTCATTTTATTTTTTATAATTTAATTAAATTTTGGTATTATATGTCTGAATTTTTTATTTTAATTAACTGATTATTTATCATTCATTCATTTTCTTTTCAGCTCAGTCCCTTTATTAATTTGGGGTTGCCACAGCGGAATGAACCGCCAACTTGTCCAGCAAGTTTTTACGCAGCGGATGCCCTTCCAGCTGCAACATAAATAAATTTATTAATGTATTATTATTATTATTATTATTATTATTATTATTATTATTATTAATATTATTAATATTAATATTAATATTATTATTCATGTTGTTGTTATTGTTATTGTTGTTATTAATTAGTTTCAATTATAAATTCAGACAGTTTAATAATTTAATAATTTCATTTAATTTCTTGCCGTTAAAGTTTAGCATATGTTGTTGTTTGATTATTTGTTTTTTTATATTTATTTTATATTAATATTTACTTTTTTTAGTTTAATTGTTGTTGTTTTTGTTATTATTTAATAATTTAATTATTATTTCATAAATGTATCTAATTGATATTTATTATTTAGTTATTATTAATAATATGATTATTTGTTTATATATATTTTTTTATGTTTTATGTTTATGTTTGGTTTTGTTTATATTAGTTCATATTCATTTATTTATTTATTTTAAATAATTATTATTATTTATCAATTTAATTACTAATTTAATGAATGTTTTTAATTGTTTGATTGATCTTTAGTTGTTATTAATAATAGGAATATTTTTTTATATTTTTTTAATATTTAATATTTTTACGTTTCATTTTTAATTTTTATTATTATTATTATCATTATTTGTTATTATTTCTTTGCAGTAGATTTTTTATTCTTTATTTATTTTGTTGGTAATTTATTTGAAATTATTATTATTATTATTATTATTATTATTATTATTATTATTATTATTATTAATGAAATTTAAGTGTTATCTGTTTTTTATTATCTTTATATAATTTACATGTAGTAATAAATTATTTAATTGAATTAAATAAACAAATTAAATAAATAAACATTATTAATATTAATACTTTCAAATAAATCAACAACAAATTAAAATAATAAAATCAATATATCTAGAAATGCCAGCAGGCTTAGTACGCCATAAACTGCTTTAGGTTCACTCAGACTTTTAATGAAAGTAAACTGTCATTAATGCAGCATGGCAGAACAGCGATCTGACCTTTAGGGAGTATATCGGTGGTCATTTATCGTGGTAATAATCAGAATGGGTGCAGAGTGACCTTAGACTTTATTTATATTGATCAGTGGAGAGCGGGTGTGTGTGATGTCGTCATTGATGATATCATGCCTACACACACAAACACACAAACACACACACACACACACGATGAGCTCATGACATTCTTCACTCTCACTGCATATTTGAGTACACAGAGCGGATGTTCAGCAGCTGCTGTTCTAGAGGCTCAACACACACTTCCTGTCTGAAAGTCTCTCCTCCTGAAACGTTAGTCTGCACTCTACTCTTCCTCACCAGTAGGGGACGCCACACACAAAAGAACACCAGCTTCAGCATTATGATGTATGATTCTAAAGGAGATTTGTCTTGGATATACTTTGATATTAGCTGCTGCTGTGTTGTCGACTGCTTGGATTGGTTTTATTTTATTTTGTTTATTAATTTTATTTTATGTAGATATTATCACTAATATTGTTATGGTTGTTATTGTTTATATTGTGTTTTATTTCTTTTATTTTAATCATTGAGGTTTTAATCTTGGTATTTATTATTGTATTATTTTTTTCTGCTTTTTTTGTTTATTATTCTTGTGTATTTTAACACTATATACAATTATACATTATTGTTGATTTATTACAAGTTTTAGTTTTTTTATCTTTACTGTAGTTTTCTATTTCATTGTTTAGGTTGATATATAAATATATATAATTAATTCTATTAAAGAGAGTGAGTGTGTGTGAGAGAAAGAGAGAGAGAGAGAGAGAGAGAGAGAGTGTGTGTGTGTGTGCGTGTGCGTGTGCGTGTGTGTGTGTGTGTGTGTGTGTGTGTGTGTGTGTGTGTGTGTGTGTGTGTGTGTGTGTGTGTGTGTGTGTCTGTCTGTCTGTCTGTCTGTCTGTCTGTCTGTCTGTCTGTCTGTCTGTCTGTCTGTGTCTGAGAGAGAGAGTGTGCATGTGTGTTTGAGAGAGAGAGAGAGAGAGAGAGAGAGTGTGTGTGTGTGTGTCTCCCAGCTGTAATCCTGCTGTTCCAGCACTGCTGCATCTTTAATCTCGGTGATTTAGGAAAATACAGATTCAGAGTCTTGAGATTAAACAACAGGAAAACACACATAATGATCATCATCAGACAGACACAGACAGACAGACAGACATGCTTTGAAGAGGAAAACACAGCTAAAGGGACAGTTCACCCAAAAATCAACATTATCTCATCGTTTTCTCTCCCTCATGTGCTTTCAACTCTTTTCAGGCCCCCTAGATTTTCATTTTTTTGTGATTTAAAAAAATTCCCAGAAATTGTTCGTACGATTTAGCGATTTTTAAAAAATATATATAAAATATGTTAAAATTAATAAAAATTATGTGTATATAATTTATATATATATATATATATATATATATATATATATATATATATATATATATATATATATATATATGTGTATGTATGTATGTATGTATGTATGTATGTATGTATGTATATGTATGTGTGTATATATATATATATATATATATATATATATATATATATATATATATGTATATATATATATATATATATATATATATATATATATATATATATATATGTATGTGTGTGTGTGTGTGTGTGTGTGTGTATATATGTGTGTATATATATATATTTATATGTATGTATGTATATGTATGTGTGTATATATAAAAACTCAAAACAGGTTTAAATTTGTGAGTAAACAGTAGCAGAATTTTCGTTTTTGTTTGAACTTTCCCTTTAAATAGGAAAATGGACACATTATGGGCTGCTTTTACCCTGCAGATATTTTTGTTGTGTGCTCATTTTGATCAAAACATGCTTCTGTTGAAATTATTCAGCATCCTGCATTTGATATCAAAGTGTCATCATAATCATTTGCATAGACATTAATATAGACAGTTTTCCTTGCATGTGTGTTTTCTTGGTTTAAGGTGTGTATTGTGTTGTGTGTTTGAGCAGGAGTGATGGCGGATCTGAGCTTGACTGACGCTCTAAACGATGCTCCTCAGCCGGACGTGGAGGATGTCGTGGAGAGAGATTTTGTGGCTACGCTAGAGGCCGAAGCTTTCGATGATCAGGTCGGAGAAACGGTCGGAAAAACGGACTTTATTCCACTGCTGGACAATGACGGGAAGGGTGAGTCTGATCTGTTGACATGAACAGGTTTAGCAGTGAGCATATTAGATGTGCATCTACTTCAGCTTTATTGCTGGATGAAGCCCCATTAGATTTATCCACTTCATTTCATTACATTTTTTTATTTTATTTCATTGCTTTATCTCTCTTTAGTTATTTATTTAGTTTATACTGCATTGCATTTGTGTAGTTGTTTTATTGCAGTGCACATTTTTATTTTTGTTTATTTGTATTTCATTAAATTGTATTTTAGTTTTTAAATTTAGTTTTGATTTGATTTTATATGGCATTTCATTTGGTTTCATTTCAATGCATTATTTTCTTTTCAGTTGATTGCTTCATTTGTCTTTCAGCTTCTATTTTATTTAATTTTAAATTTAAGTTGTATTTTAGTTTTTGTTGATTTTATGTTGCATTGCATTTTGTTTTGTTTTTTATTGCATTGCACATTTATTTTATTTGGGTTTATTTGTATTTATTCTCCTTAAATTACATTTTAGTTTCTATTGAAAATATTCTATAATGTAATATTAGTATTCTATTTTATATTGTTCATCATTTGGTTTCATTTTATGTCATAGCATTATTTTTTCCATTTTATTGCTTTATTTGAATTTGTATTTATTTGAATTAGGATTTTATTAATTGTTATACTGCATTGCGTTTCATGCTTTTATTTTATTGCATTGCACATTTTTTATTTATTGTTGTTTATTCTTGTTTTCTTTAATTAGCATTTTAGTTTTTGTTTATTTTATTTTACATTGCGCACTATTTGGTTTTGTTTCATAGCATTTTTTTTCCATTTTATTGATTTATTTTAATTTGAATTTGTTTTTATTTTAATGAGGATATTTTTGATTGTTATACTGCATTGCATTTTATGTTTTTATAGGATTGCATTGCACATTTTTATTTTATTTTTGTTTATTTTTATTTTATTTAATTAAATTGCATTTTAGTTTTTGTTAAAAATATTCTATAATAATATACGTTTAGTATTTTTTAAAATTTTGCATAACATTTGGTTTTATTTTATTTCATTGCATTCTTTTCTTTTCATTGCTTTATTTTGCTTTGAATTTCTATTTGATTTAATTAAGTTGAAGATATTATTAATTTTAATGTTGCATTGCATTTCTATTTTGTGTTCTATTGCTTTATTTTATGTTGCGTTCAGTTTTTAACTCATTGCATTAAATTGCATTTCAGTTTTTGTTGATTATTTTATTTTATATTGCATTGAATTAGGGTTTATTTTATTACTTTTTCTATATCATTTCATTAAAAAATACGATATTCAGGATCTTATTCTTTCTTCGTTTTCTGACATGACACCATATATAAATGCCAACCCATTTGTTTTTTAATGTTTGCAGACATGTTCTTGTTTCAAACAGGCCTCTCCTTTTACAATATGCTTTGAAGTTCAGCACACATCGCTGTGTAAAGTCAAGTCATCCTCTGCTTTTCTCTGATCTGTGTGAATCTTTTGTTGGCGTCTGATTGACTTGCAGGACATTGTTTGCTTTGAACAAACTTGTGTTTTTCTGGAATCTTCTGTTGCCTTTTGAGGATTTTACCTTTCAGACGCATGTAATTGTTGAGTCTGCATGTGTGTGTGTGTGTGTGAACAGATCCAGGTACAGTAGTGGAGAAAGGACAGCAGGAAGCTCAAAGGGTTCATAAATCCGGTAAGAGACGCCTCAGATTTTCTCGTCGCCTCAGTTTAGTTTCGGGTGTCGCTCCATTACTTTAGTTTGGCTTGTTTCCCGTCATGCTCATCTTCTGTTCAGGTCATTAGATTTGTCTGATGGAGAAGTTGCTCGTCTCTTTGGGTCTGGAGGAGATTTTAGCTTAGTTTAAATGCATGTTAGCGAACACCATCTTTCTTTCATCTGTATTTTGAGCATCTTTTGTCATATGATTTCTGTCTGTGGGATTTGTGGTTCATTTTCAGCATTTTCTATTTGCATGAGATGTGTTTGTAGACATGAGTTTGTCAAACAGGTGCGTATGCTGTTCATCATTTGGTAGTCAAATTAAAATAAGCAAACTTCATAATGCTAAAATTGGCTCTTTCAGCAGTTCAGACAGTATGATCCTCTGGTTTATCAGGGTTCGGGTTAATAGCTGTATATTTTTAAAAGTTCAACTTTGTAAAGTCATTTATTTTGCTCACGCTTTACAGCAAGGCTCTGTTAGGCAATGCATTTATTAACTTGAATAAACAATGAGCAGTGGCCTCAAAAGAAGACCAGAGCAATGCCTTCAAAAAGTGTAATAAAGTACCACATGCCCACATGGAAAAAGTTACTGTAGTAAAAAACATTATGCATACATTATTACAACTTTTGTTAATGAACGTTCCAGCATACTGCAGTACAGGGCTCGAAATTGCGACCATTTTGGTCGCATATGCACCCGAAAATTAATCTATGCGACCTCATAATATATTTGGGCACATTAGTGCGACTGCAGATGATGGTTGTAGTGCGACCTGTTTTGATTTTTTCTAAAAACGTGCTGAATCGCTCTTCCCTGCCGCTATGTTGGTTCATCTAAGTCGTCAATCACCCAAGGTATTCCGCTGTTAGATGACAGGGAGGGAGCTTTTATGACCACGAGAAATGCAAACGGCTGAAGAGTGAAAACTTAAAGCACACAGGTTTGCAAACCCCATCTAAAGTTGAGGCGCAGATAAGAGCGATCATGACATGTGGAGAATATTGATCCGCCAGCTGAGATCAATCGACTACGTGCTTTTCGGAGAAGGCGCCCGAATCTCGATGCGTTGCATTCACTGCGTGTTCAGCGCAAATGTCTGCTAAAAGTCAAATCTAATACTGTACATATCAACACCAGAGAAGCTCACCTTTACTAAGTTTACACTGAAACTGCGGCTCATAACAAACAGCGGTATTGCGCCGGTGCTCAACCTGCTGATAAATGGGGTCGGCTGACTCGCCTGCTTTTCCACAAACACAGAAAAATGAAAATCAGCTCATCTGAACATTTAAATTGACACAAACTGAAACCAAAACTTTTAAAGAGTGATAGAAGTGAGACTTTACTTCCTTTCTTTTGTCTATTCTTTCTTTAGGTTTATATTGTTTTTTTTTTTATTTAGTTACTGATGACTGTTTTGCAGCTTTCAGCCTTGAATTTAATATTTTATTATAATCTTTTGTTTGTTTTGCAGCAGAAATATTATTTATTAAACTGACATGCATACATAAACAGCAGTACAAAATCAATATTTCTTACTGCAATGCTTCATTTTTGTTTGATGCAAACTATACATTTATTTTTCATAAAGTAACAGACTTTTATAGCAGATAACTCGCATTCATGCACATTCAAGGCAGCATGATGATGACAAATGTAATTCATTGTTACTATTATTGTCATTTTCATCATCAATATTTTATAATCATTCGACATTCATTTTGGAATTATTGCACACAAATATAAATGTAATCTCAGCATTAGTTATAGTTCTTTGTGGGTTTTGTTAGTCCTAATTGATGTTGTTTGTTTTAAAATACAATAAGTCCCTTAAAATACTATTTGCAGCGGTGCTCAATCATTTTTGGTGGGTGCTTCTACATTTTTTCTGGTGCTCCTAAATTTTTGAAGTTGGGAGCACCGGTGCTACCAAGTAAAAAAGTTAATTTCGAGCCCTGCAGTATTACCTGTAGTGAACTAAAACAGGTTGTAGTATACTTCAGTTCTTCAGTGAACTGTGGTGTGTTGCAGTACAATCACCCTATAGTTAACTCAATCATCCTCAAGATGGCGCTGGTGTTCTGGAAACATCTCTATGAGTCTCCCACATGAGTTGTGCATTTCCAGACATTCATCACGAATCTGGAAAGTTTCCTCTGCAGATTTTGCAGGTAGTAAAAGTAGGACAGTGAATATATAGATCTGTGAGCTGCAGTCGACACGGCTGTCCAGGGAAAACAGCCTGCATGTATTCATTATTATAGTATATTTGTGGATGCTGCATGATGCCTGCTGCATGAGACTAGAGCTGGATTGATTGATTGATTGATTGATTGATTTAATTAGCTATGTTTCCATCCAAAAACTGGAATATTGCATAAAAATGTGCGAGTGTTTTCATCCAATGAGAAACAAAAGAGAACTAAACCATCACTTCTTAATAAACCTGCACAGATCTGCTGAGAGAAGTGTAGTTTGAGCCACTGTGGTGTTTTATTCTCCTCTAATAAATGAGCTGCGCCTCAGAAGACGAAACGCAATGAGCGCTGTACATTTTGGATGCACGATATGCTCTTTGTTAGCGCAGACGGATGCTCAAGAAAGTTCTGGAGGGAATGATAATAGAATAATAATAATACTGAAGCACTGTGATGACGGACTGACAGGTGGTGTGTTGATATGTGAACAGGTTATTGAGATTGGCTGTGTTGTGTCGGGTTCCAGGGGCGGAGCCAGCACGAGCAGCCAGGCTGACACAGAGGCTAGCAAGATTGCTAATGAGTGCATGATTTAATAAAGTGATATTCTGAGTTCAGAAGCGATGGTCTACATCAGGGGTCACCAAACTTGTTCCTGAAGGGCCGGTGTCCTGCAGATTTTAGCTCCAACCCTGATCAAACACACCTGAACAAGCTAATCAAGGTCTTACTAGGTATACTTGAAACATCCAGGCAGGTGTGTTGAGGCAAGTTGGAGATAAACCCTGCAGGGACACCGGCCCTCCAGGACCGAGATTGGTGACCCCTGGTCTACTGTTTAACATGACAGCGGTGATGGCAGCATGTTGTCTGCCATGTCATTTGGGATGCCATGTTGAGCGTTGTTGCACTGAAAACATTATATATTTTCGAAATCGAATCGAAATGTTCGGTTTGTAATGCGTACCGAACCGAAAGTCTCTTACCGAACGGTTCAATACGAATACGCGTATCGTTACACCCTTGATGTAGACTGCCTAATCTTGGCCATGGAGCTCTTGTAAAAAAGATTTTTAATCTCAATGCGTCCTTCCTGGTAAAATTAAAAAGGTTATCATAATAATAATAATAATAATAATAAATAGACCAAAACGAAGACAGCCGTTTCATGCATTTTCAAGGCAGAATATCTGACTTCAGCATTGTTTTTCAGATAACCCTCTCAAGGCAGGCATTGCCGATTTGCAACTGTTAAAAATTAAAGGCCCGTGCAAACCGATACGTTTTTTGCTTGCGTTTTCTGTCAACGTTTAATGCCTTGCGACTAAATAACTGGCGTCAATGTGATCGTGCACACCAACGCGCAAAACGGCAGGCGCAAAAGCATCATTTAAAAAGAAACGCCTCATGCTCGCTTTTTTGTTTTGACGCAAACCTTCTCCACCAATCAGATCGGCACTTTTGTTCACGCTCACGGAGCTGCTGAAGTTACAGTAATCAGCACTTGGAGGCGCTCAAGCGCAAAACTGTCAATGTGAGTGTGTAAGGGTGGCCAGCTAGTGAAGTGCTGTGCAGGTAAACCTCACTCCTCTGACCTCTAAAGGTGCTCTAGCGACAGACGCTAGAGGCCATGGTCTTTAGCCTCCTTGGTAGAGCAACCGACTCCCATGCGGAAAGTCGCCGGTTAGATACCAGCTCGGAGTGGGTTGAGTGGCGTAGGACTGGTAGGGTTACATTGGTGCCGTGACCCAGATGAGAGTGAGGTTTAGGGGGGTGAGTGTAACGGTGGCCAGTTAGTGTGTGCAGTGCAGGTAAACCTCACTCCTCTGACCTCTAAAGGTGCTCTAGCGACAGACGCTAGAGGTCTATGGTCTTTAGCCTCCTTGTTAGAGCAACCGACTCTCATGCGGAACATCGCCGGTTCGATCCCAGCTCGGAGCGGGTTGGGCGGTGTAGGACCGGTGGGGTTACAAGTGCACATTGAAGACAACGCCCAGAGGCGATATGAACGTGGAAACTCGTAAAAACGCTGACGTTAAACGCAAACGAAAAGCGTGTACAGGAGCCTTAACTACCTTATTACTCCAGATACATATTTTTTTAAAGTTTTTTTACTCAGAAGTACCACTGCAGGACTTGGTTGTCCATTAGCAACAAACAGTTTCCCCACTTGCACAGATGACACAAAAGACAAAAACTGTTTCTTGCAGTACCACATGACTAAGTGACTTGGAAACATGACCTACTCAATGAGGATTTGAGATATTGGATTTGGATCCCATGTTGTTTTTTTGTTGTTCTGCCACAGAAAAGCAATTTGGTACGTTGTTTGAAAAGTTGTATATAAAAAGTTATTGTTCATATCATATTCAGTCGTCAGTGTCTAATTACCACACTAGGCCAATGTTGCAAATCTGCAACATCCCAGAACGCCTGCATGTTACGCCCTATTTACACGGGGCATCAGCGTCAACTAGGGTTGTAACGGTATGAATTTTTTACGGTATGATAATCGTCTAAAACAATACCACGGTTTGACGGTTTCGCGGTATACGGTATGTTACAAATGTTACAAAATAATAGAACAGTGAAGCAAATTTAACTTTTTCCAAATAATATATTTTCAGTTACTATAAACAACACCACTTACAATGAACAAATAAAAATAAGAAAATAATAAATAATGTGTCAAAGTCCAAATAAAGTCCAAATAAACATGGTGCAAATCCTCAGTAAAAAATAGATATAAATATTTACTATACTATAAA